GTCTATTTTAAAAACTGATATCTGCTGCTGCCATCTCAAATAAGCCTAATTAAAACATGAATTAATAGAGGTGTTTTTTTTCTTGCATCATTCTCTCCCAGTGTGTCCTGCCCTTTGCAAAACAACCTTCGTCCATCTGCAGATCTGTCTCCCTGCTGATCATCTGAGTACAAGAGCTCCAATATACAGGATTTGCTGTCATCTGTCTCAGATAAAGCGAAGGGTGACTGTCATCCTCCTGTGGCCTCAGACTTGTGCTTGTGTGAGCTCACAGGCTTCTTAGCTTCTTAGTTGTAATCCAGCTGAATTTTTTCTTTTTTTCTTTTTGTCACCAAGACAGGATTCTATCATCTGAACCAAAACTCCTTTTATATATTTTATCTTCAGCAGATTTCACCTTTTTTTTTATTCAATGCTCAGAGGACTTGATAAAACAGATCCGATTCATTTCTACAGCGATTCTGTTTGACTTTCCTTTTCTGTATAAAAGATGAAAGTTACTCTTTGTGGTAAAAGAAACACAGTTTGTAGCACTCTGAGACAACACAATTCTTTTTCTAAATCTAAGCTTCAAGAAAAAGAAAATGTTTTGGGCTAATCTAACGGATATCTTTTAGCTTGATTTTGTTTTGGCAGTACATAGAAAGATGGCCACATAACAATAAAATTGCTTGCACTGTGGCTTCATGTGTACCAAGGTTTTTATTTGTGGACCTAATATGTCATTGCTGTACATTTCAGAAGCTTTCTCCAATTTGAATATCAGTGTATGAAGTTGAGCATTGTAGCATTATTTGCAACTCCACATTGATCTTATATGCAAGTATGTCAGTTGCTTTTTGCATCTTTGACTGACAATCTGTCAAAGATGAACCTCTACAGTCTCAAAAGACCAACAGTAGGCAACTTTACAGGATGAATCCAATAAAAAATTTAAACATATTGCTATCTATACCATTTTAAAGTCTAAGTAAATTGAATAACACAACCATATTATTGTACATTTCAGAATTTATAGAAGCCAATTATTTTTTTTTGTTCAGTCTTATTTTTATTTGAAAAGATTTTTCATTTCACACAAATATAAACTGATTAATTATGATTATGGTATTTGATATTACAATTTCATTTACTAAGGGAAAAGGACTAACCAAACCCTATCTTTAAAAATAATTGCCTAGTACCTGATAAACCTTAGCAGCAACTGCTGTCCTTAAGCACTTGGAATAACAAGCGGAAATTATTACTGGTCTGGATCTGGATGTTTCATGTTCTTTTTTTCTTGTTTTTCTTTTTTAAGTTTACCGACTATTGATCTGCAGCTTTACATGGGCCCATGAAGGTGGGATTAACCTATTTTGGGTAGAGAGAGTCAAATTATTCTGCTTAGTGATATTCAGGATTTTCAGTGCCAGAACTAAATATATTAATCAGCTAATTCAACTCTGAATTAATTCAGCTCAGAGTTGAGCAAAAACTAAAGCCCTGCTTGGAACACAGAAAAAAAAACAACATCCATTATTGCAACGACAGGAGATAAGCATAATATTGGTTATTTCCTACCAGTAGAACATACAATATTAATGATGCCAAATAGAGATTGCAAAAAGCATTAAAACAAAAGGAAATACTGTTCCTACTGTTAAATAAAGATTGATCATAGCACAGAAGTTTTATTCTCAGCACTACATGTATTACCATGTTAAATGAATAAATGTATGAATTCATCTTTTGTTCATCTTGTGGATTTGTTGCAAGGGAACTCCACAAGACTATGTGTGTGAGTGTGTGTGTGTGTTGGTGGGGGGGGAATTTAATTACTATTATATTTCTTTCTGCCTGCAAATCACAGTTATACAGTAAAAAAAAAAATATTAACAAAACCTAAAGCATTCAAATATTTGAAGAGGAAACCAATTTTATGAGTGCCTCTATTCCAGTCTGCATTCATATCCCACTGTCACACATGATAGAGAGGGAATTTCCTCTCTACTAAATGAGAAGGATGACACCTTACAGAAATTGTGATCGATCTAATCGGCATTTGATCTGTATGATAACAGTTTAACGCTAAATCCCTTTTAGTTTGCCCTCAGCATAAAAACGTAGTGCAGCACAAAAATCATGTCGCTGTATTATATCAGTGATCTGTGGCAGGCCTTTTATTGGGATTAAATATTAACTCTGGCAAAATGCTTAAAAAATCTATTAATCCCTATTAAAAATGGATCTGATCACATGGAGTGTAAGGAGCAGTTGCTCTCCAACACAGATTTCAGCAGTAAAAGACATGTTATTGCTGATGGTTTTCTTGTTTGAACTCACCTTTGATGTATGACAGACTAAGGATAATTTCAAGAAAACCTGCTTCTGATCAGTGTTGATTCATAGAGTATGAAACTGACTCGGAATAATTGCTATCCGGCTTTCTGAAACCGAAAGTCTAGAGTATGCAGGGGTTTACCTCTAAACTTATTCTTAGTTAAAAAACAAACCACTGGTTTCCAAGTTTAAATATGTTTTGTTTCCCATTCAGGAAGCTTTTTCAATTCAAAATATCAGAATTAGCAATGAGCTTGCAGCTTTATATAGTAGGCCAAAAACTTGTTTTGGCTTAGAAACTACAACACTTGGATACAAGTTTTTGGGCTACTATATAAAGCTTCGAACTCAAAGCTAATTCTGACATTTTAAATTGAAAAAGCTTCCTGGATAGGAAGCAAAACGTATTGAAACTTGGAAACCAAGTCCAGGGGCTTGTTTGTCTTTTCTTTTTTTTTTCTTTTTTGGACCGTCCAAGGAGCATTTTTCCCAAGGTCCTAATGATCCTATGTAAAATATATATTTGAATATGAATTTTGGTTTTGTTTGTAGTGGTTATGGCCTTAGGACTCTTCATTAATGGTTAATTTTTGACATTGCTCCTTTTTCGTCATTAGATTACTAACAGCCTTACCTGATCCTAGTGGGGGCGTATGTGCTTGAAATTGTTTCATATTCATTTATGATTGCAGCAGTGAATCCTAATGTGCTTTTGGATTTCTCCTGTGAGGCCGGTGACACCTGGTAAGGCTTATTATTAACTACGGTTAAAAAAAGTTATTCTGTATTTCTATACTTGTAACCTATTTCATGTTGTCAGTCAGATTCTATACATTAGAACTCAGATTCCACAAGTCTAACTGTAACTAGACCTTTTAGATGGTGCAACTGTTCGAATAAAAGGTTTTTTCAATATTTATTTATCGATATGAATCATGCAAGTGTTTTAATACAAAAAATATTTGTAAGGGTTTCTCTACTTCATAGTACGTACTAAAGCTTATATGAAACACTTTGGTAGATAGCAATAGAATAATAACTATTAGACCAGTATAAGTAGAAAGACACAACAAAATGGCAATATTGGTGTGATCAACTCATATTTACATATCTATTTTTTTTTCTGCATCGATATGTTTGCTTTATTGTTGCTGAAGTTTATTTTCAATTTTAAACTATGAACGCTAACAAACACTACGACATCCCAGCAGTTCATTGCATATGGGAGATCGAAAACATTAATAATGCAGATTGACTTGTGATCGTACAGCTAGCATGAATAATATTCTATACATTATATTTGTAGTTTGATGAGGTGTGTATTATAAATGGTAAGACAGCGTTATAATGTCCACCAACTATCCACACAGTGGAAACAAACACCATCCGTTTCAGCCTATTTGTGTCAATAAAGCTGTCATGTTCTTTGAACAATCTAGGTCATTTTTATTCTTATTTGAATGAAATGCAAATTTAAGATACACAGTTCACTTCCAGTAGTTGAAAAAAATAAGACCAATTTGGATTCTCACGTGTAACAAGGGAAATAGGATGGCACAAGATTGCAGAGCACTGCACACCTTAAATAGGCCTACAGCAGCATCTCTGCGCTGCTTCAGCTCCAAGTCCCATATAATTCTCTACTATATTTATGCATTCACATCACTCCCAAAATAACAAGACAACTCACTCTTGAGGACTGTGCTATGAAAAATGAAATGACTTACCTACTGAGGTAAAGTTGGAAACATCTGTGAGCGTAGCATTGGTGGAACAAAGGAGGGGTGGGGATAAAGGGTTGGGGGGGGAGAGAAAGAAAAAGGAAATGTCAGCAAATTACATTGTACAGCCAGCTAAACTTTAATGCAAGCAGAGGTTGTCAAAAGTTTAGTTGAAAAATGATGGTCTCCTAGCATTATACAGACTCAGGGTTAGGAACAGTCCCTGTCAGGAGGGAGGTGACAAAGAGGAGGAGGATATGAAACGGCTCAGATAGCCTCCCCTGAGGACCCTACGTTTGTCCAACCTGCATTAATATTTCTTGGTGTTTCAACATTTTAAGGGTGGAGGGAAAAGGGGAGCATGCAGAAACAATCTATTTTTTTCAGTGTTATATAATCACGCTGAGCAAATGTGTTCATACAAATACACACAAAAGTGCTCCTATTCCCATAAGTCTTTGAGATAATTTATTATCTCACCCTATGTGCTTGGATACCCTGCTTCTCCCCAAGCTTGTTAGTCAGACTGCAGGCATTCAATGCCTAAAACCAAAGGCCTAATAAACTGCTGGACTATCTGTCCCACAAAGACTCTGCAGTACGGTAACGAGAGAATAACAAGATTGCCAAGAATAGTGCCTTTGACAATTTCATAATTAAGTCATTATAACAAAGTGATAATTTCTACAGTACATAAAAAAAATCTTTAAGGACTGCCAACCCCTGTCGTGCTTTACGTACCAAACAGTATTTACTGCCACCCTCTGCAAGTGTGCAAAGTGAAATGAGGAGTTTCTTGACATTCACAGAGCAACAAACATCTGCCTGATTTAAAAGAATGTTCTGTTGACTTTTTCATTTTAGAAATTGTTAGGATGAATTTCCTGAACCATGATGATCAACACACATCCGACAAACTTTGATTACACTTGGCATGTTCTCAATTATTTAATCTATAAAGAGGGGCAATTATCCCTTTTTCATCCCATATTTATTTGGACTTTGATTGCCCTAGATGTGAGAATACATATCGATACAGTCATTCCGGTGGGATTTAATCATTTCCAGTGTTGTTCTCAAAAGCACCTAGCCCGAGGCAAATACCAAATGACACAATAACAAGAAAAAGACCTTGACTAAAGCAAGACCAAATCCACGTGAGAATCAACGACAGACCAATTTCAAGAACATCAGATTTAAAATCAGAATCAACTTTACTCATTAACTTTGTGTGCTCAAACAAGTTATCTGTCTGGTTTTCCATTTTTCGCATCGTACTAAGAAGGTCAAAGAACAACCACACGGCAAAAACCAAGCTTAAAGTGATTGTTCATTGATATCTGTGATAGATCAAAAGATGTTAAGTTGTAGTGCAGAAGCTTTAATTGTCACTGCAAAGTGTCTGGCTAACTTAGCTATCATGTGTCCATTTAGTTCAACAGAGATGCAGCCTGGGAAAAAAAAAAAAAGAAAAAAACTGCCACTTTGGTGTATTGTTTTTTTTTGCCAGTAGTGCAGCCCTTCACCGAAGGGAGGAGTTTGAAAAGACTCTGACCAGGACTTGGAGGGTAAGCAGAGTATACAGTAGGTCATGGATGAAGGAAAGATTCCTCTCTGCAGACCTAATTGTTTAGATTATTTGAACCTGTCCTATTTTACTGTTGAGCCAGATACTGTGCATTTAAACCAGACTGAATCTTGGCAGTCTAGACTGAAACTAACAGTTACTTGGAAGATTGCAAGGCCTTCTTCCCATTAGAGTCTGAGGCTACGCCCCACAGCAGGCCAATGAGACCAACATTTATTACCCATATCATGGACTTTTTCTTAGTAGTCGGAACGGCCCAATTCCATTCTTTCACCTCTAAAAATTTTTTATTCTTGGCACTTCCATGTGTGTCACTATATTGGATATATATCTGATCATTTATGAGTCACATCCGACCAATCATACAGTATTATATATCATGTCATATAAGATATCATAAGCTCAACAAAGTCAGTGAGAGTAAATCAACCTTAAAAATTCTGATCAGTGCATCTTAAAATCACTGTATTGCGAGTGCTGGTTCCTTTTTGTTACCTTTTGGTCAAGAAAGTAAAATTTTTCTTCCATGATAACACACAATGAAGCAAAACAATGTAAACTAAAATAAGAAACCAGGACAAACTAAGTAGAGCAAGACATACAGTGAAGAAAATGGCCAAATGGTGGATAATATGCAGCACGTTGTTGCATACTATGCAGTCCACTTGTGTTCTTAAGCAGAATTTTAAAGTAATGTGATTTATCATCAATGATGTCTATCTCGCTGCATTCATTTACATTTTGGGTGTGCGCACTACAAATCCCCAGGTGGATCAGGGACGAGAAAATGTGATTACAATATCTGTTTTGCATGTAGGAACAAATCTATTTTCAGACAGAAAGGAGGGGGAAAGATTGGGGTTGGGTCTCAGGGATACTCATTACCATTCTGTCTGACACACATTCACACTATTGTGAGACTGTTGTTACTAAACAGAGAGCTCAGCTGAGGACCTTGAAGCTTCATGCAGGGAAAATTGGGCCCAGGGGAGGGGGGTAGCAGGGACTGATGTCAAACTTTAAGAGCCACTAGAAACACCTGGGGTTTCTGTGAGATTAGCATTTGGTTTGTTTGGTGCAATAGCATCTAAAGGCAATGATCCAAGTTAATAAAATTGGAAAGGACATAATCAAGAATAACAATTTCAAAACTAATACTTGGTACCACTATAGTGACTCAGGAAGTACTGTATATTAATACCAAAATTCAACAACGTCCATATGTAAAAAGCAAATGAAATAGCATGCCCCGAACCAGTCCACACTCCTATTGTTCTAATCACATTTCCTTGTTAATAAAAGGTTTTCCTTCTGCACTCCACTGAGGATTATTGATTTTCCCTGAATCCTGTGGAGGAAATTTGGATGCCTGGCCAATCAAAACCAATGGAGGAAGTTGGGGCCTAAGTGGATTAGACTAGTGGGGATGGTGGAGAGAGAATCTAGTGGGAGACACAAATGCCTTCAATAAGCCCTCTATGTGAACCAGGAAACAGACAGAAGACTAAGACACCTTTTTTTATTTTTTTTTTCCTCACCACAAGTTCTCTGTCTACCGTTTTTAAGCAGATAAGCTGCTTTCAGAGTCTTAGTTATGCTGGGAAGAACCCACAACACGGCAGGAAACTTTTGAAAACTACCCAAAAAAGAAAGCTGGGAAGTCTCTTCTTGTGTAGCCTTGTCCGGACTGACAAAAATAATTTATGGGATATTTGTAGTGGTCAGTAGTGGTAGTGGAAAAAGAGGGATTACAAAAGTCTGTGTGATATACTGTGGTGAGCATGTTACTGTTCAGACACAGGTTTTAGTCAAGGCTTTGATTATATTATTGAAACTCTTGGCCTAACTGTTCGTTTGTTTCTTGTTTTTTTAGGATTTACTAGCATGCCCCATCTTCCCACTGTTAATTTATTTTTGCAGCCATGTTTGGGAAAGAATAAGCATCTCATCCTTTAATCATAATTTTGGTTAAATTTCTTCCAAATCTATTTGAAGGTTTCATTGTAAATCAAAACATTTTCTTAAAATAATTTAAAATGAAAATGTAACTATTATGGGAATTGCCTAATTTAATTCGTAAAAGTCAACATAAAAATAATCATTGTGCTTTCATGATTGCAATCTGAAGTTTCAAATCGGAATTTTACATTTGAGCTCGGTTTGTTCACAAATCTGTCTTAGCTAATATAACCAACTATCTGGGATTGCTTTTGAGCTCAGTCAGGTAAACTAAAGCCGGGCGTACACTGTGCGATTTATTTCAGTCGTTGCACGCATCTGCTGCTCACACTGTACGACTACACCACAGGGTTTAGTCATACAGTGTGAGCTCACAGCTCACGATTTGTGTTCGGCCCGAGGCTCTGATGCGATCTACCTGCTCACACTGTACGACTAAAAACCACTAGCTCCGCATTGAGAGGAGCTGCTCTGACTCGCCTATCCAGAAGCCAAACAAATAGAAGGTGAATATTAAGCTCACTAGAGTGAAACGCGCTGCAATGTCAATTTGTGCAATTTTGTGCTGAAAGTCCTAAAAAGAAAAGGCAACGATGTATTTAGGAAAAAGACATGGCTGAGCAAACGTGGCTACTATGGTCTGTCAATCTTACAGACAGAGCTGCATTTCACTAATTGCATCCCTGCCATGCTGCTGTGCTCACATCTGAAAGGAGAAAAAAAAAGAATCCTTCTTTGCGCATGTGCCCTCAGCGATTTGTCCACGACGGATTCCTTACGATTCCTGATCAGGAGGTGGTCGTGAGAGACTGATTGCCCCTTGTAACCCCCTGTACACTACACAACGCACGACGTATGATCAGGCTGAAAGTCGGCCCGATCGAAAGATTCTCGCACAACTGGAAAATCGCCCAGAAAATTGCACAGTGTATGCCCGGCTTCAGAGGGAAGAGGGGCCTCACCTGTGTAATAACATTACATAAAGGAGGAGATGATAGGAAGAGGGACAACGGTCATGAACCCCCTCCAATAACACATGCCTATAACTGTGTAGTCTGTGTAATTTATTTTTGCCTATTTATAAGGTCAGTACATCTCAGCAGAAGTGCAATAACCCAAGTCAACTACTGTGTAGTCTTTCCTTAGATCTCTTCTGTGCAGACATTTTTTATACCTAAAGGAAACACATTCCAGGACATTACTTTTTTTTATGCTCTTTTTTTACTATATGCACTCTTTTTGTGTTGACGATTTTTATCTTTAATGGCATCTTGTTTTAACTCTTTGTACTTTATATAAGCTACTGGAACCAGAATTTCCCTGAAGGAAATAATCCCAAGGGATAAATAAAGTTGAGTCTAAGTCTAAGGCTAAGCCTAAAAAAAAGTAAATAGTTATAGTTACTCGTTACGTTTACTATCAAGTAATTGCATTAGCTACTCAGTTACTGCTCAATCAGGGTAACTAGTTAGTAGGCACAGTTTATACCTTTTGTGGTCTAAAATCTGTATTAATTTGGCTA